GAGAGAGAGAGAGAGAGAGAGAGAGAGAGAGAGAGAGAGAGAGAGAGAGAGAGAACAGGTAAGCCTCCAACCTCGCGGCTGCTCTCAAGGTACTTCCACGGATAGGATGAGCAAAATTGAATGAATCTACGGCTAGAACATGGAAATATACACTTCCACACTCATTTTTTTGTTCGCGTGTGTATGTGTGTGTGTGTGGGGGGCGGGGGGGCGGCCACCAATCAATCAATCAACCAATCCATAATTTTTTTAATTTATTTTTTTTGCAATATTTTTTTTTACCCCCAACCCACCCCGTCCCGAATTTTTTTATTTTTTATTTTTTTTTTGGGTGAGGGGGTGGGGTTGGTGTTGTGCAACCCTAATCAGCCCCCAAACGCTTCCCTTCCCCCCACACTGACAGCCATATGGCCATGCGGCCATGGCCACGGGGTCGCGACCCCGGCCAAGGCCTAAGCCACGCCTGGCCACCTGGGGGAGATTCATTGGAAAGCGGCGATGGGGGAGAGCGGACAGAGGGGAAGGCAGGGAGGGGGAGAAGGCGAAAGGGGAGAAGGGGGGGGAAAGGAGAGCAGTATATCTGCCAATTTTCACATCTATCGAAAATAAGATCGAAAATATTATCGATCTTATTTTTGCTGGAGGCGAAAATGGACCGTGGGCGACGACCAGCAGGTGCAGGCTGGTCCGGTCTAAGGATTTTCAAGCGCCAACTTTGGCGATTTTTCGTGCTCAGAAGAATCGATGAAAGATTCTGAAAAATTCAGATCCTGTAGACTAGGTTGTGATCTTTCCAGGAAAAATATCAAACAAATGATAAAAAATTATTTACACCGTGAAATAAGTGCCGCGCCGTTTCGTCGCATTTTCCAATTTTGCCACTCTACCACGTGCGGGCCAACGGGGAGAGGACCGCCACTTCCGCGATTTGTTGCGCTCAAAATTGATGACTTAACAACCCCGAAAATTAGTGTGTCTGTAGATTTTGTTGTGATCTTTATAGGAAAAATATTTAGGAAGTTCAAAAAAACAAAAAATCATGTTAACCTTGACATAAATCGCGGGGGCCATTCGATGCATTTTCCAATTTTGCCACTCCGCCAGGTCCCCCCACTGTGCTATCGGTAGCCCTCATGGACCTGTGCTATCGGTCCCACCCAATTTACGACGGGGGCAGTGGTGGTTTAAAAACTTCGGAAACAGAGACCCGATTTCGCTCTCGGAGAACTTTGGAAACAGAGACCCGAATTTGAATCCTCTCCCGAGTTCGCATCTAGAAGCGATTAGGTTTTCTAAAACAATAGTCACTACACAAATTTAAAAGAAAAGAAATAAACATAGAAAATTGCCCGTGGAAGCAAACAACGCCCAAGGCAGAAGGGGAAGGCGGAGTGGCGAAAAGACTGGCCGTGAGAAGGCGGAGTGGCGGAAAGATTGACTGCGAGAAGGCGGAGCGACAAAAAGACTGGCCATGAGAAGGGGGAGTGGGGAATTGGCGGAGGGCGAGAAGGTGGACCACGGAAGGAAGGGAGGGGAAGTTGGCGATGAGGAAGAAGAAGGCGGGTAGGGCAAGGGGAATGACGATGGTGAACGTGAAAAGGCGGAGTGGAGACGAGGCAGAGGGCAAGAAGGCGCAGTCGAGGAAGGTGGAGAAGAGGAAAGGCGGAGGGGGAGGAGGCAGAGGGGGGACAACGGCGATGGGGGAGAGCGGACGGGCGGGAAGGCGGGGAGGGGAAAAAGGCGGAAGGGAAGAAAGGGGGGAGAGGGGAGCAGTGTATCGGCCTATTTTTCCATCTATCGAAAATAGGATCGATAATATTATCGATCCTATTTTCGATAGAGGCGAAAACAGACCGTTAAGAACTTCAAAAAGATGTGAAAATAGGCCAGCATTCTGCTCCCCTCTCCCCCCCTTCTCCCCTTCCGCCTTCTCCCCTCCCCACCTTCCCGCCCGTCCGCTGTCCCCTCTCGGCTCCCATTTTCGTCTCTTGCAAAAATAGGATCGATAGTATTATCGATCCTATTTTGATACGCGGGAAAACAGGCCAACATACTGGTCCTCTCTCCCCTACTTTCTCCCCTTTCGTCGTCTCCAGTACATGATGGTAAAGGCTAAGTGGACCAATCCAAATCTCGCAGGGGCAGTCCTCGCTGCAGAGTTTTGAAGGCCACGCCCATGGAGAAGGCAGACTCAGCCATGGTGTTCCTCCTCTCCGTTCTTTGTTGTTCTCATGTCCGTTCTCTTCTCACTTTGTACTCCTTATCTCTCTTCAGTTCTCGGCCCACTTGTGCCCGTCTTCGCCATTCTCTTTTTCGCTGTCCACCCCTTTAATCAACCTGGCCCACACCTCGACCAGGTGAATTCGCTACCAAGACTTAGTGCAAAAGCATTGAATATCGAGACAAGCATCACGTCTACAAACACCGCAGCGAGGAGCGCCTTGAGGAAGACAAATACCATTTTCATGGGTGCCACCATATCGACGATAAGCGCTATCAAGCAGCATCACGAAAATGAGGACCTCGAGCGTGAGCACCACCGCGAACAGCACCAAAGCGAGCACAATTGCAAAGACCACCGGGAAGGCACCAACACGAGCGCTGCCACTGGGGAAATTTTGACGATGACGACCGTCACGACCACCAAGATGCTGACCGAGAAGACGAGCTCGACAAGCACAATGAGTTGCGCTGTCACGATCCCATGCCTCATGACACTCCCTCACCAAATGTACCCCGTTTCCAGCTTAGCCTGCTCTGGTTCTCCAAGACTTGGGCAAGGGAAGGAAAATTTGTCTCGATCTCCACAAAAGGTAAACTGAGTCTCGCGGATTGGCTGACACAGCCCTCGGTCTGACTCGCGCTCTCACCCACAGAGACTCCATCGTTTAACGGGACGCTCGACCCAGCTTCTAGCCTAGTCAGTCACTAGCTTAGGCTGGTTCTCACAATTTATGACCGCAGCAGGTCTCTTTGTTTTTCTGTCAGTATCTTAATTGTCCAGTTGTTTCTTTTTTATGGAAAGTGGCATCTTTTGGATGCTGGACCCGGTTTCCAGGTAGAGCCTAAGAGTCTGATCCCACCTCTTTTCTCTTCGGGAAGAAAGCTAAAAGAAACGTTTTTTCAGGGTCCGTCCCGCTTGGTCCATGTTATAAAAATTGGATCCCACATGCCCACCAAATGTGCTACTTTTACTGAGGACGTGGCTGAAAGTTGTGGGCGGTGACGTATACCTGGTCGGGGAGGTGTGTCCAAAAGGATGATGCGGCCCTTAGAGGTAACCCTGGTCAGTGAGGTATACCTGGTCGCGGTCGTTCCAAGAGGATGATGCAGACATCTCAAAAAAGAAAAAACGAAGAAAAGAAAAAAATACACCTTTTTTTGGGGAAGGGTAGGGGGTGTTGTCTCTCAGGTTTCGAAAGAATAGCCTCGCCACCAAATGCGCCCTCCATGCCATGTCCCAGGATGTTTCCACTTCCTCGAAAAAACAGGGCCCCTCCATATCGCATGGAAAGAAGTGGGATCCCAAGAATTGCCTAAAAGTGCCTTGCCTACAAGAGGTGGGATCAGCCCCTAAGCTGGGTAATGGCCCCAGTTTTTTCTCCGGGTTGAGATGTCGAGGTTTTCCCAGCCTCCTTTATTTGGATTTAATGTATATGCAAGGGGGTCAGCACCTGCTAATACTGGAAGTGACAATAAAAGCAGAAAAGTTGTAATTAGCACAGACCAAACAAATAGAGGTAATCTATGCATGGTCATTCCTGGGCCACGCATGTTAAAAATAGTCGTAATGAAATTGATAGCACGTCCTCTTCTCTAGCGTACTTAGGCTAGACGTTTGGGCGGGAAGGGCATTGCCAGTGCCAAGAGACTATATTCCTTTCTTTTTGCTGATTTTTAAAAATGCACAAGGAATATGAGAGGGAGCGATAGACAGAAAAACAAGTTGCAAGAGCAAAGCAGTGAACTCGTGTGCCAATGTTATCGCCCTCAGGCCCCACCAACACAGTATCCAATGCCGCTCATCTCTGTCTTGCGCACAGCGCTCATCCTACTCTACAACAGGATCACTCTGACGTTGAAGACCGATGTACATGACGTCAACACCAATGCCGACCTCCCACATACACCAGGTACGTTCTCTCTCCTCTCCTCATCAGACCTTGACCACCCACTCATGTGCCTCCTACCCGAAGACCTCCTCCACCTATCACCCGCATGCTTCCCTGCAGCGTGGCTATGACTGTCGTGCGCCCGCTGCCCCGCAACGCCCCTCTCACCTCATAGTGCCCGTGTGCGCCCCAGCCAGCAGCGCACATGCAGACACTTGCACAGCAACGCAGCAGCGTGTCCACATTGCCTGCCTAGGCCAGAATGCACGCCTCTGGCGAGTGATCTTCCTATATGGAAGTCGCTGCCTCTGTTTGGCTGCGAGGGCCTGGCTGAGGAACCTCCCAGTAGCTTCCAGTCGGGCCCCAGTGTCCTGCATCCAGGCCCTGTCCGACAGTTGGGGCATGAGCCGTTTCTAATTGATCACGTCCAAGCAGCCTCAAGGCTCCAAGTGTTCGCCGTCTTCTCTCATTGGCGCGCTGGGCCTCTGAGACGACAATGGTGTGTTCGAATTCACCCGCGGCAACTTTGCAATGTGTCGGCCTCACACTGTGTGTGCCCAGGGCGCAACCACCCGGCCCTGGGCTTGACACAGTTGCTGTTTCTGGAAGGAGCCCAAGGAGAGGCTCATGTTGCACTTCAACCAACTGGCGTGCTGCAACTGTCTGATTCAAATACACCAATCACAAACTCATGGACTTTATTTCTCACAGCGAAGAATCCCTGAACTGTCTGATTCAAATACACCAATCAGGAACTCATGGACTTTATTTCTCACAGCGAAGAATCCCTGAACATCGCCGATGATGTATTGTGTGGCAAAGATGTATTTATGGGACGCTGGACCCGGCTTCCAGCAGGTGTTGCTCCCCACCAATAGATGGAGCGGCCCGCTAGGCAAAGCCTCAATCCCGGTGGTTCTCTTACCACCACCAGGATAGAGGCAAGGGCCTTTCAAAAAAAAAAAAAAAAAAAGAAACCACCACTGGCGCTCGACCCTTCTGTCCTGCTGCTCAGGCCAAGAGGAGCAACTACTCCCAATATTCCAATATATCTGCTCATGCTTCGTCCGCTTTCGAGAAACCTGCTGCTTCCCTATGAGTTACTGTTGGGCAAAACGCGGCGGCCACATCATAGTGCCAGTCTATTCCGGCAGGGGCCGTCCTCCTATTTCCTTCTCACATCCCTGTTTCGCTTTTCAAGTACCGTTCCGTGCTGGCTTCTCCTGAGTGGGCTCTTTTCGCCCCCTATTTTTCTCAGCCGCCCTTCCCTGCCGCCCCCCCTCCCCCCCTTCTCTTTAGAACCCCAGCCCTTCCATCCCTCCCACCCCCTTCCGTTCACTCCTACTCAATCCAATCTATAAACTTTCGGATCATCTCAATCTCAAACTCTGATTTCCGCATCTGGCCATCTTTCTCAAGCCAGTCGAAAAACTTTCTTTTGGATACCCAAGAAGTCCTGCTTCCTTCAAAAATGTGACAAGACTTAACCATCATGTAAGTTTGGTATTGGGGTTGTCCCAAATCCTGCAGAGAGTGTTGAAGACCGTAGCAAATTTCTGAATCTTGGGTGCATACGATTCGAAATCCCTCATAAAGACCCTTCTCTCCATCCCAGATAGTTCCAATATTCTTGAACTTGTGGGCGTTGTAGACCCATGCCGGGATGTCACCAATAATCAGTCTCGTCTCAAGAAATTCAAGAATCCCGTTTCCACCATCCGTCCGCTCAAGCGTGAGATCTTCGTGGTAACATTCCATTACTTTATCAAGTACACCATTCATCCTGTTTTCCCCGTCTTTCTCCTTGCTATCATACCAACCCACGGGCAACAAATCATCAATGAATCTCTTCCCTTCTATATACCGAGATCTAACCTTACCGACTCGCGGCCCGCCTTGGGGGCCACAGGCCCACAGCCCAAATCATGTATGTTGGCTAAAGCCCCGTGAGGGCACATTCCTCACAAAAAGTTTCTTTAACATTTTATTAAATTATTGTATACTCCATATGTGTGGGCGTGGGATCTGTTAGATCCAATGGCAATAGTGTGTCACTCATATCACGCTGTACTAGGATTCTCAACTAAACCCCCCCTAGTGGAAGATGGCCCAGAAAATATCACAAACAAGCCCAGGGAGCCCGCCCGTCTGCGTCTGCATGATGGGACGGCCTGATGAGTGATCTGGATTTGCTTAGCGCTGACGGCTAGACGCAGACGGCGGCCGTGACGATATCTATACCCTCTTTTCACATAGCGACCTTGCATATTTATCAAGCTCACTGGTAAAGCCCCACAAGTACGTCAAACAAAATCTGCTTCTTTTCTCTTTGCGGTACAATTCCCAGGTTCGCTTGAAGGCGCAACATTCCCCTACTCCGCACCCTCTGCGCCTCAGACATCCCAACACCTTTCCTCTGTTTACTGTATTTACCTTGCTGAATTCTTCGTCACCCCGCATGTATCCACCGTTGACTAATGTATCCAGGGTGATTTGCTGGATAGCATTCCTTTCCGTAGGAAACAAGGAATTCGTAAAAAGTGGAGTACTTTTGAAAATCGGACTTTACAGTTTTTTGCATCCAAAATTTGTAGAATATTATTTTTTTCTTAAGAAAAAAAAAACATTGAAAAGTTTTGTATAAAAAAAATATTATGTAA